GGCAAAGAACTGAAACTTTCTCCTTGCATATCTTCCTCATAGTAGAAAGGTGGCAAGAAAAAGTGAGTTTTTTTTTTTTTTTTTTTAGCTTTGTTTTACATTCCATTTTGGATTTTTTTTAGTTGTCCTGTGTCTCGTAAATCAATGTCTTTATCCCTGTTCCTTTTGTTTTAACACAAGTTTTAACAGGAAACGTTCTTGAAACCTTCCCTGAAAGAAACGTAGCATAAACAAAAAGGTATCACTTTTGGTGTAAATACAACTGAAAGAAAATGGTTTGATGTAGTTCATAGGAAATAAAGGCAGACTCCTGTATTTATATTATTATATCAATTTTTTCACTTGGAGACCTTTGAAGTTCACAAAACATTAACATATCTTGAAATTCATATTACCTTCTGAATTTTTCAACTAAACAATAACTAACAGCATCATTGTCAGCATTGCCATGTGCTTTTCATTTAAACATCTATAAAACCTTTTTAAGAGAAGTTTTCTGTGATATAAACCAAAACAAAGTAAATTTCTTCAGAATATCTTTTATATTTTGCTCAGACCAAAACAGTGTCCTTCTAAGAGACACAAGCAATAAAACCCATGACATTTCTTTTGTGTGGACAAGAGACAAACTGCGTAAGCTCCTGAGAGTTGCTGTGCTCAGCCAGCAGCAACACTTCATGGAAGTGTCTCCTTGAGAACTCTTCAGAATTAAGATTTTAAAACTGAGATTCATGTGTTTTCTTGATTTCATATTGAAACCTTTCCAACATCTCGTGCAATAATATTCATAACGTTTTTAGGAGAAACAAGAAAGCTGGGACAACAAAGCGTTATGCCTACAATATGATCGTAGATTTGAAAGGTTTGTGACTGGGAGGGATCATTATATCGTTTTGACTGACCTCATAAATCTCAGACCAATACATTTAACCTGCTTCTAAAACATTCAGCCTAACAGCTTTCACTTCATTAAATTGTATAGGTTATTTTGTATTTACATATTGTATGTGTTCATACAGAACAGTGCAAGTGAATAACAAGGGCTTGGGCTAGAGTGTGCGTTGTTAGGGTGAGTAACCAAGAGGTTGGATGCCAAAGGTAATAAGACAAAGGTGTATTTTCCAAGGAAAAAATTCAGCTTAGGAGAACACACTATTTTCTGAAGTAGTCTTATGAGTAGGAAATTCAGTACAAATTTCAGTCTGAGTGCTGACTTAAAAATTCAATAGGTAGAATAGTAGTTGGTTGAGAGACTTGCATACTGTCAATATTATTGTCATGATCATATTATGATTCTTTTGCTCTTCAGGCTTCTTTGTGTCTGTCAGAGACATTCTGGATAGGTTTAATTTAATATAGGGAGACTGTGATGGTGGAGGGGGAAAGGGAAAAGGGAAGAGCTCAGTCAGAAAGAGGCTGTTAAGGTAAGAAAATCATTTTTGGAGTTTATTGGAATAGCACTTGCTCATCCTCTTTTTCCTCACCAACCCTGTACTCCTACCAGAGTTAAGAGTAATCAAGTGAGCCAGCCAACGCTAGATTAACCATGGCCCCTGTACCTGCTTGAACCTGGAAAATATAACACAAGATCTAAACCATACGTCAGTTGTCACTTTTACACCAGAGCTCATCTAAATCATGCCAATTGGTAAACCAATTTTACCCCCTGAACTAAGCCCTAAAATGAAGTTTGTCTGAAAGCATACCCACCACATGTACCAACCTCAGAACCACTTCTGCAGCAGGAACATGTTTTACCTGAGCTCTTCAAACCCTTCATCTCTCATCCCAGTGTTTATCTCATTCATCAGCCTTTTCTTCTTCTAATAGGTCCCTATCTAGGATCCTACTTTAACACTGGCCCAATCTCACCTTCCAGCTCCAAAAAAAGCTAAAGGTGTTGATAGATATTTGCCCTTGGTGAACATGTGGATTGCTTCCAAACCAAACTTTCTTCTTAACCAGTTGATTCCCATGGTTACTCTACAGCGCTAAATCAAAGATTGCAGGGCTCCAGATTCAAACATCTCACATTTGTACTGCCTCAGGCTAGTTTCTCTACAGATTGGGTTATGAATAACCACTTGGAACAGTCCAGTTATTCCAAGGCAGAGAAGGAGATAACACTTTAGGAATACTGGTAACCAGGAAACCACTGCTTGATTTTGTTCTCTGCTTCTTTCTTTCTTTCTTTCTTTCTTTCTTTCTTTCTTTCTTTCTTTCTTTCTTTCTTTCTTTCTTATTCCCCTTCTTTTTCTTAGCACATAGCTATGGCCCCTTGTGACTAAACCATAACTTGCCTCTAACCCTACTGTGAATATAAGCTCTTGAACATACCAGACCTGTGCCTGAACCATCTCAGACAAGGGGGTTCGACATAGCAATAAGCTCATGGAGGCCTTTGCCAGCCAGGAACTACCCACATTTCTCACTCTCTGCCCACTTCCAGTGCAAAAACTCAGGCTGCTCTTAAAGCAAAACCTAAGATTGCAAACAGGCTTAAGGTTCCGAAAATAGAGGCTGATGAACTAAAGTATGTTTTTTGTTGTTTTTTTTTCTAGTGATACAAACTAAGAAATGATCTTAGTTTTTATCTCCTAATATTATTTTTGAATATTTACTAATACTAATATAATTACTAATATATATTAATATTTATATTAATTTTTGAAGACCCTTTGCTCAAGGTAAGATTACTCTTAACAGAATAAGAGTAAACTTACTCTTATTCTCTTAAACTCTTAAACACTTAAGAGTAACTCTTAAAGATGTGGTTCTTGTTCAGTCACAAGTGAACAAGCATACACTTCTGTCCTATAGCTGAAATACCACTAAAGTATCAGTCCAAGATTTATGCTGAAACTATCCCCACCTTACCAGTAGAAGGTAAAAAAAGTAGTCCCAAACCAGCATCTGTTCTCATCATAGACCAATGGCTCTCTTCTCGTACTACCATTTGCCTATTTACCCGCTTCTTCTGCTTCTACAGACATTGTCACTTATCTGAACCATGTACTTGACTGAGTTGAGCCCTGGGCTTGCTCAACAACTAGAGTGAGCTGGTGCAAAGAGGTGCCTATCCTTAACTCAAGCCATAGGCTACTCCTGCAGAAAAACAAGCAAACAAAAAAAAACAAAATAAATAAAACTGATTGGTTTCTGCATTAGCCTTTACCTTGTCTTTAATCCTGAAGCAAGACTAAGCCACCTAAACCAAATCACCAAAATTTGCATCAGAATATTTTCTAATACTGGTTCCAGCAGTTAGGATTTAGGCTGGTCACATGATTCACAAAGTGCAAAGACACTTATATTTTATACAAGCCGTTCTGAACTTTTGAGGAAGAAAGCACTTTGTAGCAGACCACACTATCAAATTCTCTTTGCATGTGGAAAAATTGTTAAATTATGTGGAAATCTTTTCGTGTATATTGTGCGTGTATGTATCTGTGTGTGCACAAAAACTGCTTTGGTTTCTCTAAGAAGTTAGATTCTCTTTTCACTGGATTTCCCACATTATTTTTAATAATAATAATAATAATGCCAGCCCAAATAGCACTTCTGTTAGAAAGAAGTGTCTCATCATTTCTCATAGTCAGCAACAAGTGCTGTATGCCCGACTCCAAAAATCTGAAAATCCACTCTTCACAACCTAGAAGTATTGTGAAAGATTAGACCCACATTTTCAAAGGTGCTTAGGTATCAAATGCCAAGTGATTTCAATTTCAGTTTCATTTTTAGGCACTTGTTGGCTAAAAAGCAACTATGTCCTAACCTTCAAGTCTGACCTCTGAGACTGGGACTCCATTTTCTCTTCTTCTCATACATCCACACAGCCAGGTCTGCGGGTTGGAAGGATGCAAACTATAAAGGAGTCCCAGGATTGCCCAGTCAAGAGCATAGCTAACACAATCATCAAGGCAAAGAGATTCCTCACATCTCCTGGAGAGAGTTTCTATGGGTCTGGTACTTACCAAAGCAAAACATGAATGGGAAGGCACTTTGATTATTACTGGAGTATTAACATCAGAGTCTAAGACTGAGGGATAAAGAAAGCATGTGAAAATTATTGATTGTCATGTTAAAACTACTCTGCTAAATCTATTCTGCTTAAAGATAACTAGATGATGGAAATTTAAAAAACTAACTAATGATAGATTAGGCTCAAATATGATGTACAAAGGTATAGTGTAATTGCAGTTTATGGTACAGCTTTTGTGGCACAAAAATGTGATGAATCTGTGTCTGTTCATAGACAATATGTATGATGTATGAAAAAGTGTTTCTGTTGCTTTTAATTTATTTTCAGTTACTTAGTTTTTACTTGTTAGTCACTTGTTAGTCACACCTACACAAAATTAATTTAGAGCATAAATAGGCAAAAAAAAAAATCCAAAGCATATAAAGACTATATCTTTCTGCTTACAACTTTCAACATTTTCAAAACATAACAAGGCAAACATAGTTTATACCTATGTGCTATGGCAGAAATCCAATATTCATCTGCTGTTCATATTGCAAGAAAATGAGATCATTAGGGTCAGAAAGAACAGCTGCTTTAATTATAACATCCTGATATATCGTATCAAAGTTTTCATCATCTCACACAAACTCTAAGAACATACCTCCAGGGATTATTTCTTTCAACCTGCCTTTTCTCAGGAAGAAGATTATACAAGCACACTCCAGAGCAGTGGCGGTTTGAGTGTTGTGAAGCTGTGTGGAAATAATTTTACCCCAAGCTCAATAACACTATGGCAGCTATTATTAATCTAACCTCTACAATCTTGAGTCCCTTTTCTACTGTGGTGGCAGTGGTAGGGGATGATGTTTTTGGCAGTCAGGAAGCAGCCCTGCAGAGACAGGTTTGTGCGATGCTGCTGCCATACGCTTGCTGCCCCAGAGCTCTCAGCATCCACATCTGCAGCCAGGGAAGCTGGTTGGTACAGGGCACCCAGGGGTATCTCTCCCTAAGGGAATGACTGCTTTTGTTTTAACAGATGCGATGCTTCTGGTAGCTGAGAGATTAGAAGGGCCGTTCAACATTGAATCAGTCATGGATCCTATTGATGTCAAGATTTCTGAAGCCATCATGAACATGCAAGAAAACAGCATGCAGGTGTCAGCAAAGGTACTGTGTGAGTCGCTCCTTCTCTTTTCCTGAGTGTCACAAGCAGGGGGGAAAGCATTCAGTTTTCTCTCCAGGCTTTAAGATTGGCTGAACTACAACAATGTATATTAGTTTTCTCAGCAGTTCACTGTGTCTTTGTGTCTTTGAATCCTTTCTCTAGTTAAATAAGCCCACAAGTTTTCAAACAACAGAAGTGTCAGAGAGAAAAGTACAGTTTAGTAAATTGCAAATTAATAGCTGCAAGTGGTTAGAGAAAACAGAGACTGCTGAAAATTGCAGGTAGCTCAGTAAGCAATATCCTGCAGAGTACATTGGCTCGTGTCTCATCTGTGATTCTCTGTATTAACATCCAAGCACATTTTGATCTGCCTAAGTCAGACTGCAATACAATGTGTTTGAGGTGAACATACGAAATGTTCCGCTTAACCTACTCTAATAACCACTCAAAGGAAATATCATTATTTTGGACAGCCTCTGATTACTAGACCTTGGTTTGACAGAGTTTTGTGTGGATTCTGACATGAAAATAAACAAAGTTAATGATGCTGTCTTCATTCTTTCTGTTTTTAACGTGCATATATGCAGGTCACCACCGTCTTCAAACCCCATATAAATAAGGTCCTTGGAATTCAGTAACTACTGTTGAGCCAGTAGTTAACAATTAATGTCTTTTCCTTAATATTCGTCAGCACACTGTGGTTCAGAATCTGAAATCAGCTGTTTGCCAGGTTCTCCACATTAAGCATTTTCATCTCCCATTGATCTCCTAGTAGTTCTGGCTAGACTGCTCTCCAAGTTGGTGAATTTCCATTGCTTGGAAGGAAACGACTATAGATGGGGGAGAAAATGAGGATAAAAGACAGGAGGCTGAGGTTAACATTCTTCCTGCCAGCCCCAAATTAGATGCTCTTTATGGGTCCAGTGCTGCAGGATGCTAAGGATTTCCTTCAAGAGGCTCTTTGCTTTTCACCTACGTGCAGTTACTTAGGTTTTAAAAGCAGTCTATGTCCTGCGAGATGTGACTTTGCTCTGGCAGAAATCATCAAGTTGCTTATCAACCAAATTCTGTCGAATACTTTGAAGCTACCTTAGCAAATCCAGCTCCTACCTTAAAAAAGAAATACATATTTTCACTAAAAGCTCATGCAAGACTCAGATATATTTCATTTTCCTTCTTACTTCCTTCATTCTCACAGTTTTTCCATTAGTCAGGAAACTGCATTTCCTGCCAGAATCCAGTGACATCACCTTGGCATAAGCTCCTCTCACTACTCATTTGAAATAGAGCAGACTGTTTGTCCTGTCCCTGAGAAATATTGTATTTATTTGCTCTAAAGGTTAATAAATACAGAAATTCAATTTGCACTTCAAAGTTTTTCTCTAAGAGAAATCTTAAGATTTTTTTTTTAAATCTTGAGAAAAAGAAACCAAACTATAGCAGGGAAATTTATTTGACTCTGTTTTCATAGATAACAGAGCTATCTATGCATGGGGGCTTTTGTATTTTATAAGTAGACCATTTTTCTCCTGAAAAGTGATTTCCTTATTTTGCTGGGTTATATCCATCTTTTTCAGGTCTTAAGTAAGTCATGAAAGTGCTCTAATGTTAAAAAAAAAGAAGGCAAAGTCTTTGAGTCTACTGCTGTGATATTCTATGTCATATCAGATCTATAAAGATGATACATGAGCAGACTTTGAATCAATTATCTGTAGTCTAATTTTTTCCCCTTATACATACTTGACCGCTTAGATCGAGCCTCACTGAGAATGACAGATACCTTGCCAGATGTAATGGGGTGCATGGAATGCAATTGCAGACCTAATCTAGGAAAAGATCCACACTTGTCAGTCATTCAGAAACTGCAGTCAGAAAGCTCCAAGCAGAATGTTAAAAATCACACCATTTTCTTTTTCTTCAGATAATTCTGTTTTTTTTTTTTTTTTTTTTTTTTTTTTTTCGTTTTTTTCTTTTGATTTTTTTTTAGGAACCACGACCATTTTTTTCCGCAAGTCAGTCATTGTGTTTGCACATGAGAAAATGCTAGTGCACTTATAAGGTCATGGTATGGCTACAGCACCTGTATGTACACGGCTGATGCTTCTACAGCTGACATGCAGCTACCTCCACTAGAAAATCTGGCTGATACCTGGCATGAGGCTCTACACTGCATTCAACAGAATTTAGTGCCATTTAGTTATTGCTGTATGTTGCTGTTCCTCTCTTAAAATGAATGGAAAAAAAAATAACAACCAAAGTTTCTTTATCAAGGAACCCTCAACAAATCCATGTTCTTTGCCAGCAGAAGACCTGGAGATCATTTAATTCAAACCCATCCCTTTTCTGTTTTGAATATTTCTATAAAATATCCCTGTTCCAGAGGTCATTACCGTTAAATTGTACTGCCATTTGTGTTGCAGGGTGTTATTTTGTATTATGCCAACTGCCATTGTATTTCAAAATCTATTTGAGGAAAATATATGTTTTTTGACATAATACAGTTACTATACAGCACTGTACATATGGAGGCAAAATTAAGTAGATAATAATATATGATTTTCCTCAAAACAAATAGAAAAAAAAAGAACGCATGTTTTTATTTGAATGATGAGGTCTTCAATTTTAGACCTCAACATAAAAGTATATAATGAACATCCTAAATCTCCATTTTATGGTTTATCTTTCCATTTTTCACTTGATGCAACCTTGAAGATTTTGCACAATTTCTTTTTTTTCTCTAAATAGGCACCTCCTCCTATTCAGCACTATCTTTCTGAGAAATAGTCTTCACAGTTATGGCAATACTTATAAATAGAAGAGGGGCAAGTACCCATGCCTGAC